AACGCAGCCAATATACGCATTATGGATACATGTCACGCATGCGCTTTCGAACAAACTGAACAGTGATAAAGAGTAATAAAGAGAGTAGAGCATTGTCTGCACCGTAGTGTTGGAACCGCGCTGAGAGCTCAACTAGCCATATAGAAGTATTACATATATGGCGCGAGTAGTGTCTATTCTTAGTAGTCTATTCTTTCATTGAATCCATGAAGTAAGAGTAAGGCTGGATCCTCATGCAGACACCGGCGCTTTGACACCGAACGTTGATTGGTGAAAAGCAGGTGGTGAGGGTAAATTAGAGCTGCCGTTTACCGTCACCATCCGCTTTTCACCAATCAACGCTCGGTGTCAAAGCGCCGGTGTCTGCATGAGGATCCAGCCTAAGGAGATCGAACTTTATAGCGTGCCAATGGAAAAAGTGGTCTCAATTTTGACGCCTAATTGGGAGGGAATCCGCTCAAAGAAATAGTTTCTTACGGTTGGACGCCATTTGCAAAACTACCACATGTACACATTTAGTATATGTAACTATATTTATGCTCCTAATCGTGAGATTTCTTTTAATGTAGCAATTTCTCAGCAATACAACAAAATAAAGTGATAAAAAATTTAGAAGTTTTTTGTTTTATGTGTATTGTGTTATAACGTTTCGGGTAATTGCAAATAAAATTATAGATACGCAAAATATCGGACAAACAAAAAGGTTAATAATGGAAAAAAGTAACATTGAGGAATTAATAGTAAAAAAGACTATCATTTTCAGACTCACGAGTATAATGGAAAAAAATTCAATGGAAATGGAACAAGCAGCAGATAAATTCAAGTATTTGCAAAAAAATTTGCATTTAGTTGAGCTGCCTCCTCCAAATTGGGGATTTACAACTGGAAACGACACATTTTTTGGTTTTGTGAAAGCAGAAAGTGATTTTAGTGTCAGAAAAAGAATTGCTGCGTAATACTAACTAAAAACTGACAGAGCTGCGTTCCGTTTCAACGGAAACTAGTCAACAACTAGTAAATTTGTTCACTTTTGTAATTTTCACTACATTGCATGGATACAGAATCGACTCCCTGACCTTGACTGGTTCCGTTTCACGCATATGCGCGCATTTGTCTATAGTATACGTTACATATAGTATAGATAAATGCGCGCATATGCGTAAAACGGAACCAGTCAAGGTCAGGGGGTCGATTCTGTATCCATGCAATGTAGTGAAAATTACAAAAGTGAGCAAATTTACTAGTTGTTGACCATAAGATCATAGATATTTTAGTCAATTTGATCACTTTTGTAATTTTTACTACACTGCGTGATACAGAATCAACCCCCAGGTTACGTTACTTTGCAAATGGCGTCCAACCGTAAGAAACTATTCCCTTGAGCGAAATAGTTTCTCCCAATTAGACGTCAAAATCGGGACCACTTTTATATCACGGAGTTCGATCTCCTTACTCTTACTTCATGATTGAATCGAACGTACAGACCATTGAGTACAAAGAAACAGGAGGGAGCGTTTGGTCAAAAAAGTGGTGACGAAAGTAACTATATAAAGAAAGCTTTCCAGCTACGTACACAGGCGACACTGGTCTAGTTTCCATCGAAACATTGGGTGTGTTTTGCCGAAGTTAGCGCTACGTAGCGCTACGTAGCGGCTTCATGTAGCAGTTGCAACTGCTGCGTTACTTCTGCTGGACAGTATTGCTACCATGAAGTAAGAGTAAGGAGATCGAACTCCGTGATATATAAGTGGTCCCGATTCTGACGCCTAATTGGGAGGGAATCCGCTCAAGGGAATAGTTTCTTACGGTTGGACGCCATTTGCAAAGTAACGTAACCTGACCTTGGCTG